ACCCCCACTTAACAAAGATTTTTCGAATTATTTTTGCTGATGATTTTGAGAAGTTTTCAGAATAAATTACTCCAACTATCCATTTTCTTGTTTGTGTATTTGAACGGACAAATGTTCTATTAAAGCATCAAATTCTTCAAAATTTTCATTTGAAAAATCTTCCAAACTTCTTAAATCCATTATTAATTTATTCTTGAATTTCAACTTCTTCAATTTATGAGCAAAATTTTTCGCCGGTAATTTTCCCATGTAATAAATTATCTAAAATAAAAAATAAAACAAAATTAGCCATGGTACCTAACGTTGTTTTTTTAATTTTTAATAACCATTTTAAGGAAAAATAAATCTTTATTTAAAAATAATAATAAGATGTTTATTTTATTTATTTTATATATAATTTTAAGTATACAATTTTATAGCCACCAAAAAAGCAATATTTTTACAAGGTCTCTAAATACAAATCTATGAAAATCGGCGACAGTTAATTCATTAATACTAACGTTAGTACTAATACAACATATTAACAAGGACCTTTTATTTTACGTAATAGTGGATTTTTAACGACTAAAAATGTAAACACCCAGATAACATTCGTTATTTTCATTCCAAAATCACATGATGATTTTCATCATGTAAGCTTAATATGCACACAAGATGTTTTATCATATAAACCTGTTTTGATGATTTTTATTAATGATTTCATAACAAACTCGTGGTGAAGTTTTTAATTGATTGTCGTTATGATGTTGGAGATGAATTCATAATTTCGCGCCTTTTTGCAATACGCGTTAGTTTGTTTTGGATTGCTTAATCTCAATCATTGCTCATGTGATGAGGGTTTAGGATTGTTATCTGTTAATTTATTTTTTTATAATAAAAAAAAATTGGATTTATTTGATCTAAATGGAATTTCTTTATTTGAAATTTATTTTTTTGCTAAAACAAGAAAGCCCTTAGAAGCCTTAAGTTCAGTTGAGTACTTTTTCACCCTAAGTTCCTATTAAATAAGTAGGGTATATTATACAAAATTCTGGATCTTCCCCTGGTCGTGACATAGACAGGATGTTTGTCAAACACAGTCTGTAACTTCACATATTTTTTGAAAAAAAGTTTATATAAATTGTGGCGAAGTTCAATTTTAAATAATAAAAAATACTTTATCGGGAGGGGGTGATTGTATCAATTATTCTGGGCTCCATACAAAAGTAACCTTTTGACAAGGATGGTTAAAAAGTAATGAATTTAAAGTTACAAAACTCTCCTTTCTTTATTTGCAATAGAAAAATAACCTAAATTCCTTAATAATTCCAGTATCTTGAATTTAAATGTTGGACTGTAGGACCCAATAATACCAAGTTTTATGTCAGCCGAACAAAATAACAAAATTATAAACCAAATACATAAATACCTTGCACAGCTTACACAAGTAAATAAATCACTAAAAACTCCTGTTCAGTATTAAATTTCTGGTATTTTGAGTGGAGCCATGTTAGGGTTCCAGTCCAACGGTGATAACAGCAGTAGCAGCAATTATAGCCCTGATATGTGTACTTTACAAGATGGTAACTGCAAGGTGTTGTTCAGTAAGTATTTCTCCAAAAATGTTAGATCAGACTAATCATAACCTCCAAATATTTTCCAGTGGTAAAACTTACACCAGCCAAAAGATGCTTGCTAATATCTTACAACGTAGTCGAGGCATACACAACCAAGATATCAAACTAGAATCAAGATGAAAAGGCCTGAAAAGAGAAACACCGTTAAGCTTGCTCATAAAATACAGAAAAACTTGCCGAAGTAATGAAAATATTGTTTACCTTAGATGTTAGATGGCCTTAACGTGATTATAACGACCAAATTGATGATTCTTAATCAATGATGCTCAAAAATATTGCGTTAATTTTGCCTGCAACCCAGTGTCTCAAGCACTTAAAAACACAATGGCCGCTTTTACCGGAAATTTGCTGTCAAGGATTCAATCTCATCCGATTGGTCGACACATATTTATAAAAAACTCAAATATGGTAAGTTAACTTTACTAATTAATTACTTAAATACGATACTAATAGCTTTTTCCTGTATTTTGCAGCTCAACAGAGGTTCCCAAATCGATTTATTTAATATACTTTGGAGATTTATGATAACTATAGGAATAAACAATGTTTATAACCTCAAAGCCTTGTTTACGATGTCACAATAACAAACAAAGTCGGGGTTACCTAACTGCATATAATAATTGTCCGCAAACAAAAATATATTATGTTAACTGGGTTGCCTAACGATAATTCGAAAAACCTAATTTAATACTTTCTCGTTTTTATTTAATGTATAAACCCTAAGAACCCGTTTCTAAATATAAATAAAATTCTTCCTTAATGAAACGCAGGGTGTCAAATATAATTTAATTCTTTTTAAACGCCTGTATCCCGAAATATAAGCATTTTTGGACACACGTTTACATGCATTTCTTTAAATTCCACAAAGAATCAAGCTTTCTAGCTAATTTCATTCTTTACATCCAAAAATATTAAAAGGCATTTTTCTTGTAAAACCATGCATTTTATTGACTTCAGAAAAGAGTACCTTATTTGACAATTGTGAGTCGATCAATTTTCATTTGTTGTTGTTTAGAACAATTTTAAAAAAGAAAGTAGTGAATAAGAAATGAAATGGTAATTGTAAAACAAACACTGGGTACCTATAAAATTTTCAAATTTGACAAAGCATGGTTGGATACAGCGCTATCAAAAATAAATTTTGTTACATGTTTGCAGTTTCTGGAAGATATTACAAAAATTTAACAAAGAAAAAATATTTTTTGACGCCCTGTATCTCAGTAAGGAAGCATTTTAGGACGATTGTTTAATGAACTTCTTTTCTTAAAATAATGCAAGGAATTGTGTCCTGCAGTCAAAGGTTATGTCAGGATCAGGGGCGGATAAACTTTTTTTAAAAGGGGTCCACAAAATGTTTGCACTTTCTTCGGAAAATCACTTAATAATAATATAAATAAATATTAAATTTTGGGTTTTTGACCCCCATGAATCCGCCACTGGTCAGGATTTACAAAATTTCGCTTTTTTAAATATTACATTAAATTATACATAAATACACATAAATCAAATTTCGAATTTAAATCCATTTATGGAAAATATAGTAGAATATACATATACAGTGCTTGCAAACACAAGTCCGACCGGTTTGGGAAGGACGCGTGAAAATAACAAGGATAGAACGCCAAACAGAAGGCGGTTACAATACGCACGTCTGACGCTCTGACCAATCAAATTCTGTTTGGCATTCTATCCTTATTCTTTTCACGCGGGTATTGAACAACCGTCCTTTCCAAGGCGGTCGGACTTGGATTTGCAAGCACTGTATAGAATAGAATAGAATATACATATACATACACAATATTTTTAAATATTACAATTCATAAATACACATAAATCAAATTTGGAATTTAAATCTATTTTCGGAACATATAGTAGAAAATACATATATTAAGATGTCAACTATACAAAGAAAATATTAGGGATAGGGATTGATGCAAGAACAACTGTTTCCCAGATCTTCCTGGAGATCCATCATATGATGAGGGGGCATGAGATGAATCATTTAGTATTAATTGATCGTCATATTATGCACGAACATAGTGAATTCTTGAAAATTGTTGCGTGTCGAGGACTCTCAGTGCATTATGGTGAGGCCATTAAGTTCTTGCGGAATCTACCCCCAGGAGAGAGGTTGTATGCAAAACTACTAAAGACTAAGGATGAGTGTGCCTTAATTAACCGCCGCATCTTTGAAGAACCTGCTGTCAAAGCGACTGCGATTGCGCAATTCAAAAATTCTACATTCGATTATTACTATACTAGTGAGAAGAAGTCACACATAGTTCTCAGGGATGCTGTGTTTCAATACTTGCAAAAGCGATATTCTTTTTTGCCATTGGCTTTAGGAGGGTTTGATGAAAAGAGGATGACCAAAGAAGAACACAGTAGATACATGAAGGAAGTGGAAAATGATTTGGACAACAAAGTGACCATCACAGAAATAGGAGATGAGGAGTTATTGAAGATTCCGATCCCCGAGACTAGCTTGTATGATGTGTAGCTATTCATGATTATTTCTAGAAGGTCAAGTATAACCAATCAGTATATACATACACAATATACAGTATAAGTGGGTTTGTTGCTCTCAAACTCATTGCAGATATTGCTTGCTCAGTGGGTAAACAACAATTAGAGGAAAAGGATATTTCACTTCCCTTATTAATTAAATAAAGGAACAGCAAAAACTTTTTTTAGATATTGATTTAGTAAAATTAATTCAAAACCGTGAGATGGATTCTCTTGATAAAGTATTTTTTATTTAAAATTGAATTTCGCCACAATTTATATGAACTTTTTTTTTAAATGTCAGGACCAGGGGAAGATCCAGGATTTTTTATAATATACCCTATAGGGTTGGGTTGGGTGATGGTATTAATTATTCTGGGCGCCACACAGTGCGTCGACCAATGGACAAAAATCGGATTTAGGTATGTTATAAATAATTAAAATTTGTTGACTACAGCAAAGATAAACATTCGGTTGTATCAAAACAATATGCCACATTCTTATTTTTTACCGGCGAGAAAAAAAACATATTTATATTCTACAGTATTTTAATAAATAAAATAAATAGGTGTAAACGTAGTATCGTTTGAGAAGTACGTAGTCGGCATAGTGTTAATTTTTTTAAAGAATATTAAAATGACAAATTTTCTTGGTGGTAAGTACTGTTTATATGTACTATAAAAAATGATTAAAATAATTAATTTAGGCCCAAAATAATTATTCAAAAATGTTTTAACAAAAATAGTAGTAGTTTAATTTTAATAAGCGTTTTCTCTAAAAGACCCAAATTGACCCTTCCAAATTTATCAAATTATATTTTCGTAAGGTCTGTACTTGATGACACTAAGCAATTTTTTTTGCGCCGCCTTGCGCAAGTACATGATTTTTTTAATTTTAGGCACATTTCCGTCAATCAAATATATCGATCTTGTTGAGATATGGATCTCCAGCGAAAAGTCTCAAGTAGAAGAGAGGATCTTTCAGACTCTTTTGACTTATTTTAAAACAGATGGTCTTCCAAATGAAGTTGTTAAAAGGCTTCATGACGTTGCACACTTTTTTTGCTTTAAAATAGACCAAAAGTGGCAAAAATCTCAAAGAAAGCGTGATCGGTTTCTGACAGATCACAAATTGTGGCTTCAAAATGAAATTGCCCTACTAGATTCTTTAAAAACTTATCCATCTTTGGCCACTTTAGTTGAACACGAGACAGATCCAGGCTGTAGTCGTGGTCGCCCTTCAAAGCCGTTTGAAGCCTGCAGTCTAAAAACAAAAAGAAGACGAGTAGAAAATTTACTAGCTTCTCATAGTTTCCAGGAACTGTCTTTTGCGGCTCAAGAATCTGCGCGTATTATGAGCTTAGAAGAACACCGTAAGCCTGAACAGGGACAATCATTATCGCCAGAACAAGTGTTAGCTTTGTATTTAGATTTGGATTTGTCAGAAAGAAAATATAGTTTACTGAGGTCAGTGGTTAACGCATTGCATCCAGACTGTTTTCCTAGTTATTATAAAGTAAAGAAGTGTCGAAATGAGTTACTGCCGAAGAGTGTTGAGGCTACTGAATCTGTGGCCGAAGTAAAGTTGCAAGAATTATTAAATATTACAGTGACTAATATTTTGAAGACCCTTGAAAATATCACTTTATTAAGCTCTAATACAAACTTAACACTAACGTGCAAATATGGTTTTGACGGTAGCTCAGGTCATAGTACATACAAACAAAAATTTGTAAATCCACAAACAACTGACGAATACTTTTTTTTAATTGCTTTATCACCTCTGAAATTAGTTATCAGCGAAAATGGTCAGGTTATTTGGTCCAATCCTAAACCCGGCTCAAGCTTGCTCTGTAGGCCCATAAAATTTATCTTTCAAAAAGAAACATCAACGCTAGTAAAGGAAGAGGAATCAAAAATCAAATTAAATATAAGTAACCTTACTGATTATAAAATTAATTTTCAAAAAAAAAATCTTAGTATAAATTACAATATGCTTTTAACAATGCTGGACGGAAGCACTATTAATACCCTATCAGAAACAAACAGTACTCAACTTTGTTTTATATGCGGTGCAAGCCCTAAGGAGATGAATACAGAACGGGTTGCTGAAAAACCGATCCGGTATGAAAATTTAAGATTTGGACTTTCATCTCTTCATTCGTGGATTCGCTGCTTTGAGTGTTTATTACATATTGCTTATCGACTACCATTCCAAACCTGGCAAGTAAGAGGACCAGAAAATAAGGCAAAATTTGAAGAGCGTAAAAAAAACATTCAAACGGAGTTTAAAAAACAAATGGGACTGTTAGTTGATAAGCCAAAACCAGGCTTTGGATCAACGAATGATGGTAATACCGCAAGGAAGTTTTTTAGTAACCCTACACTATCCTCTATCATAACTGGTATTGATAAAACATTAATTAGTCAGTTTTCAATAATTTTAAGAACGATATCAAGTGGTCAAAATATTAACTTAGAAAAGTTTGGTCAGCTCCTTTCCGATACGAAAAAATTATACCTACGTCTTTATAGTTGGTACTATATGCCCAGTAGCGTCCATAAGCTACTGGTTCATGGCGAAGATATCATAAAAAACTTTGATCTCCCAATAGGTCAACTCTCTGAGGATGCGTTAGAATCTAGGCATAAAGACGTAAGAAAACAACGTTTAAGTCATACAAGAAAGTCATCCCGAGTAAATACTAACATAGATCTAATGAATGCACTTTTGGTGAGTTCCGATCCTCTTTTATTTTCTTTTAGAAAGAGCAATAATAGACCTAAAATTGATTATAGCGGTATTGAAAACTACTTATTACTTGATAATTTAGATACTGACCCTTCAAGTGTGATTACAGGTTTAAATATAGACAATATTTCTTTGTATTCCAGCAGTGACGATTCAGAATGATTTTACTTATTATTAGGCACGGATTGTTTTCATTTATTAAATAATTATAAACACCCTGTAGAGCCAAACTTAAGAATACTACTAAGAATGTCCAGTAGCTACCTTATTGAATTAAAAATTTTACGTTATAGAGTATGTTTAAAATTAATTGTTAAATATTTAGTATCAAACTATCAAAATCAAGAAATAAATGTAACTATATCTTTACCTGAAACAAACAAGACTGTAAGTTAATACATGTACCTTTTGTGCAGTAATATGGGCTGTTAAAATAAAAAAATAAATGGTATTGATATCAACAAAAATATAGGAGTTATGATTTTTGTCCCGATCTCCCATTTACTCGTTGCACTGTGCGCCAGTCAAAAGTAACCTTTTGACAAGGATGGGTAAAAAGAAAATGGTTCTTTTAACAATAAAAAAAATAATTTATTGTTTCGACTTTTACTTGATGAAACTCCCTGTTGATAAAATGTTAATATAAACTACACTGTTTAAAGGTTTCACTATCTTATTTAAATATGACAATTATTTCACTACACAGTGGCATACGAAGGCGTAGAAGGGCCAACAACAATATTTTTTTTTTAAATAAAATTTTTAATCGACAATTGTCGATCGGTTCGACAATTGTCGATCGGACCGACAATTGTCGATCGAATCGACAATTGTCGATCCGATCGACAATTGTATATATACAGGGTGTTTTTCATTCGTGGTCCATTAGAAGTTTCTGGGAAACGAAAAAGATATTGATTTGAAATTTGAAGTGAATATTTTTCAAATTATTTTTTTTTCGTTAAAATTTAAGAAATGCGCGTCAATCAAAAATAGCCTATAACTTTTTTGTTATGAGGTTTGCAAATATAGGGTTGGAATTTTTGGAATCTTAAAAAAATTAGGCCAAATTGAAGGTTAATAACTTTTTTTATTTCAAATGTAACACTTTGTATGTTTTTACATATTCAAATAGTAAATTAAAAAACCTTTCGATTGATGTTACTATTCCCTATACCTAAAGTTAATAATTTCAGAGATATTTAACAATTTCTAAAATTTTACATATTATTTTGTATCACGAAACCTGTGACAGGTGAGTTGACGGTTTCTATCAGAGACTGGTTTCTATGGTTACCACGTAATTTGTAAAATTTAATCGTGTCAATTTTTCAGGTTGTTATAAACAATTTGTTAACTAATTAAGTGTTTAAAAATTAATAATTCGAAACATTTTAAAATAATATTAATAATATTTAAGTTGATCTGGTTTAACCGGAAGTGGCATTTTGTTCAAATTATTATAGAAAAATAGACTTAAATGGATTATAAACGCTTTTAAAATTTCAAATCGATATCTTTTTTCGTTTCCCAGAAACTTCTAATGGGCCACGAATGTGAAACACCCTGTATATATACAATTGTCGATCGGATCGACAATTGTCGGTCCGATCGACAATTGTCGATCCGATCGACAATTGTCGGTCCGATCGACAATTATCGAACCGATCGACAACTATCGATTAAAAATTTTATTAAAAAAAAAAAATATTGTTGTTGGCCCTTCTACGCCTTCGTAGTGGCATCTTTAGATCATATACAAACTAATATTAATTTTCTATTAATATTAAAGATTAAATTAGCGTTATACAATAAAGAAACAATAATTATGTAAATGCCCTGTAATCTTTATAATTATATAAAACTCTACTTTTTAAATTTATTTAAAAAAAAAGTTCAAAAGCGGGGAATTATTGAAATTTGTTAAATTATTGTTGGTTTAAAATGTGGATAATTTAAGAAATTTCATTAAAAATAATAAAGATAAGACCAGAAAATATAATAAATCAGGAGTGTACCAATTACCTTGAGCAGGTCATAGCTTTAAAAGTAGAATAAACGAACATAGTAAATCATTTATCACACACATCATTCCACATTTGCAAACCATCTTATAAATGACAATCATAATTCCAATTCTAACTTTAAAATCTTACACACAGCAAAAAATTTGCCCGTGTAAATTTTCTAGAGTACCTGGTAAAACTATTAGAGTTAAAATCTAGGGTAAACGTATGCATTATTTTAACTCTAAAATCCAATCTTATCTATTTTTCATCTAGGTAACTCTTTTTTAACTCTAACTTTAGATTAAATATATTTTACACTATTTAGTCACAATGTAACTCTATTTCTATTATAAAAATATTTACTAAATTAGAGTAGATATTTTCACTAAATCAATTAGATTATAACTTTTGTAGAGTTATTTTTAAATCTAGTACATGGTACAGTTTTATCTAAATATCTCTAAAACATTCTTATTAGTGCATATTTTAACTCTAAAATGTGTAGATTTAACTCTATTTAGTGTGATTGGCTCACGCCACTTGGTGGGGTGTTTCTCTTTAGACTCGACTAGACTAACGTCTAGCCGCTACCAGTAACAAACTATCCCAGCCGCTCTAGTAACTTTTCTGGTGGAATATGTTGGTACTCATTCATTGTACTCATTTCTAACCCCACTTTATACGTCTAAATACGTAATAAGTTATTTATCTATGCTAATAAGCCGTTTAGAGAAAATCAGCACTATTTACACAAGGTTTGTGGTAAAACTACTAATTTTCTGCGTTATTTCAAAAAATTTAACGGTTATTTCAGCCGTTGTGGCCCTCTATTAGACGAAGTAACTGCTAAATGGTTTTCATCCAAATCCAAAGGAAAAATGGAAACACCAAAAGAAGCATATCCTTGCTTAAAATGTGCCACCAAGTTTACAAACCCCTTCAATTTAAGAAGACACGTGAGAAAATTTCACCCTGAAAATATAGATGTCTTAGCACCTATGAAAAACAAAAACACCCGAAATTTCCTCTTTTCCTGTGAAATTTGCCAAAAAAATTTTAGTTACAAAAAAAATTTCTCTTTTCACATGAGAACTCGACATGCTGCATTAGCAGAAACTGTAAAGGATTACAAAGGTCAATATAAAATCACTACCAGCAGTAATGAAAAGCAGAAAAGCATAAAAAGAAAAACAACAAAGTGTCCACTGTGTAGCTATGATGTTGCTATAAGAAAACAACTTTTGCAACATTTTGAACAATCACACCAGGTAAAAATTTGCTGTGAACAGATGACATTTCATTCGCTTCAAAAATTCAATGAGTGGAAAACTATGACAGAATGCAGCACCAATTCCAAATTTGTTTTACAGAAAACTGAAAAGCTTAAACAAAAAAAAATAACCAGCTATGAATGCAACAGATCAGGAAATTATGTTCCTGAGGGAAAGGGACTTAGACATTTAAAAACACAGGGTTCCAGAAAAATTAACGCTTACTGTCCCGCCAGAATAAAAAAAATTGAGTATTACTCTAAAAATATTTTGGAAAAAGTGGAAGCCTTTTATACTAAAACACATATTGGACATCAGCTAGAAATTGGTCACCTACCCCT